CTGTTCCTCCACCAATGTCCACCCAGACCGGGCGCTGGGAGATGAGGCCAGCCTCAACGCGGTGTTTCAGCTGTGCTGCCACAAGTCCCAGCATGTCTTCACGACCGTGCAGTAACTTGAGGCGAGTCGCATCGTAGACATCGGCTTGCGCTTTGTAGAAGCTCTCCTATGACGGGTAAGCGCTCCGCGCCAGCCTATTCAGAGCTCATACCTACCAATGCGTCTTGTTGACTTCCAGATCCATCGCCAGTATGCGGCTTCAAGAAACAGCCATAGATGAACCTCAGGTATGCTTCCACGGTGCCGGGCGACTGGCCCTTCGCCTTGGGTCTCAACGCAAGGAAGAAGACGGCCACCAGAAACAGTCCAACGACGCACAGAGCAATCGTAAGCTGGTGAAAGGGATCACGAGGGAGGAAAGCTGAAAGAGCCAGCATGACTGCGCCTCTTGAGTCTCAATCAGTGAGGCTGGAGCAAAAGACAAGGAGAAACGAGGGGTAAAGCCAAAAAGTAAGGAAACCGAGGAATGCACATGATAGAGGGGCTATAAGAAAGTGTTTCCGAGAGGCCATTGATCATTCCGACTTCGGGTCGTCACCACGTAGACGCACATGACGGGCACTCTGGGTATACGGACCCAGCAGACGCGGGAGAGACAAAGCCTCGTCCTGCGAGCAGTCCCACGAGGCTTTGCCAGCCAATCGACCTCGGCACATGTCCGCGACGATCTGAAAACGGCGTGCAACACCGTGTAGGTTACTGCTGGGAGCCGTGTACACGATTTCCCTGGCTGCTGTTTAGACTACCCCTCGATACACAACCGCTGCTCGCGAAGCCATGCAGGGTCCTAGTAGTCCCGAGAGATTCTCCAGAGGCTACAGGAACGAGGCGGCCGCTGGGCGTGTGGTGGCCTATCAGTATGGAATGTGTTGCGCGTGGGTTGGGGGTGCGTGGTGTTGAGCGGCGGACAGAGATGGGCGGTTGTGGTTGCATCGGGCCAATCAGAGCGCGCGTGCAGGACGCGTGCTAAAACCACTGATGGCAATGCAGGGACGCGGATTGACGGCCAACGGATGCATGGGCATGGCGCTCGGTACTCATTCCCTGGGCCAGACACTGGTTACCTTGTTCGACTGCTAAGAGTACCGGGCGACGTCGGCATTGGCCACGGTTGGGGTTTTGTCGTTAGCAGAGTAGTGGTGCGGTTGGGCGGTGGCATCGTGAGGCTTGAGGAACTGCTCTACTGACCTGCTTACAATGCGCCAAGTACCATGTCATACAGACAGACATTCGATTCAGCTGGTCACGCGTTAGATCTCCGAGGTCAGCAAAGCCAAAAACACTGCAAATGTCGTTGTCATTCGTGTAGTCTACCGTGCCAAATGCTCCAAGTATTAATACAAGCGCGGCATGGCTGCTCGCACATGCAAGCGGCCCTCCAGCCCGAACACCCTCCCTCTACGCGTAGAAGTTGACCGTGTCCTTCTTCTTTGCTTGTACCTCAGAGATGGCATCAACGTAGTGCTCGTGACTGATCTTCTGGTGACCTGTACGGAGAGCGATCATGCCAGCCTCCACACATACCGCCTTCAGCTGCGCGCCACCAAACTCGTCGGTACTGCGTGCCAACTCCTGCCAGTTGACACCCTCATCCACCGTCATCTTCCTTGAGTGAATGCGCATGATCTGTGCGCGGGCCTCCTCGTTGGGCAGTGGGAACTCAATCTTCCTGTCCAGACGACCCGAACGGAGCAGGGCAGGATCCAGCACATCGACACGATTTGTGGCAGCGAGCACCTTGACGCGGTCGTCAGACGCAAACCCATCGAGCTGGTTGAGAAGCTCCAACATGGTTCGCTGCACTTCCCTGTCTCCAGACTTCTCAGAATCGAATCGCTTTGTGCCCACGGCGTCGAGTTCGTCGATGAAGATGATTGAGGGGGCCTTCTCTTTTGCCAGGGCAAAGCAGTCGCGTACGAGCTTTGCGCCGTCACCAATAAACATTTGTACCAGTTGTGGTCCAGCGAGCTTGAGAAAGGTGGCATCGGTCTGTGCAGCGCAGGCTCGTGCTAGCAGCGTCTTTCCGGTGCCTGGAGGACCGTACATGAGAGCGCCTACAGAGTGTTAGTGAGAGTTGTGAAGCAGACGAAAATTTATGTACCCTTCGGTGCCTTGATGCCAATCTTCTTGAATCGCTCCGCCTCCTTCATGGGCCAGACAACAGCCTCGACAAGCTCCTCAATCTGCTTGTCAAGACCTCCGACATCCGTGTATTTCTCCGTTGGCTTCTCGTCAACCTCCATGGCCTTCACTCGGCTGTCATACTCTGCGGGCAGCGTGTCTAGGACAAGGTATGAGTCTTTGTTCACACCGATCAGATCTCCAGGCTTGAGCTTCTCGTGGTCGACCAGGCCGATGAGGGGCAAGAAGATGGTCTGTCTCGTAGACGTCTTGATGACTGCAGACTTGCCAACGCGGGTGGCATCGAGATCGATGTTTGCGCCTTCCTCCGCTGCCTCTGCCGATACATCTAGATCCAGAATCTCAACGACGTTGCCAACGAGGTACGGTAATTGCCTGGTATGTATCAGTATTTGTTGACAAATCAACCCCGCCTCTAGATCACGCCAGAGACAAGGCAAAGGGATAATCCATACCTGTTGTTCTCAATCTTCTCGAGATTGTCCTTGATCTTCTCGTTCATGGAGGCCTTCTCATGCGTAAGACGTTGGTATTCGCTCTTCATGATGCGCATGTCGTTCTCCAGTAACCGCCGCCGCGCCACGATGTCGCGTGTACTTGAGTTGAGGATCTCCTCGTCCAGCTGTTCCTCCTCTGGCTCTGCGTCCTTCATCTCCGCATCGCCGTCGGCCTTCTTGCCGTCCTTGCCATCGTCTTTCTTATCCTCGTCCTTCTTCTCCTCCTTCTCGTGGCGCTCAAGGTCGTCGAGATCTTCGAGTGTTGACATGGTGGCGGCGTGAGGCGAGCTACCTGGTGCGAGGTAGCGACAGCCTTTTGGTTGAGATGGGTGATGTGAGTGTGTGACGACCGTGTTGTGGGTGGAGAGACTGTGGTGGTGCGGCGGTGATGTGGACGTGTTTGGAAGGCAGCTGTGGATTACGAAAGTGAAGCTCCGCGATGACCGCCGGTGCCACTTAGCTCCGAGTCTTGGCACGTCGCGCACCCGTCGCGTTCGCCATCAACCAACCATTGTGAATGAGGAGAGTATTAGACAGTCGGTCATACTCTCTGTTTCCTTAGAGATTGCATCACACATGCATGCCACTTGTGGTGGGCATGTGAAGGCGGAAGTCTGTTCTTATGGTCAGGTACTCTTGAGATTAGGTACCATACCATAGGTACCTAGAGATCCGCCAACTCGATGCACGCAACTTAGGGCCTGATGGAGATGCTCTATATCTAGCTCGTACTAGCATGAGAATTGCATCGGTGAGCATAGTATAATGGGAATACTGCAAACGGCCTATCACAACTTTGAATGGCGACTTGAGTATGGGGTATGTTCAACGTCCGTAAGTGTTAGACTGAGAACATCCAGACTTCTAAACTTTGTTTGATTATCGACCATCAATCGTACATTCAATGTTCGTTCGCGGGCTCAATCGTCTACCGTCACTCGCTTCTCTAGGACTATTTCCCGAGCACATCAAAAGATCTAATCACTAGAAGGTACTGGTTCCCTTCCTCTACATCCCTCGTCAACGAAAGAGGCGCCAGTGTTGGTTTGTGTGGTCTGAAAGCGCGAATCCAAGGACCGAAGGCACGTCGCCTATGTTCAGGAGATGACAGAGCAAGAAGTCGTCTTGAAGTTCTCACGGACTGTTGTTGTCGACTTGATCCTGATCTATGTAGGGAGAGGAAGGCCGTGATCGAATCCGAGAAGCCTTCAAGCTATGCGAGTTTAATGAGCGGCTACGCCAGCTAATACCCCAGGCCGAGCAAGAACCTAAAGAAGAATGCCTACGCTCAATGTAGATTGGGATTCGATCCTTGCTATCTTCGTCGAATATCCTTGTAATGCCTTTTTCGATCGACTATCTGGGTCGACAGCAGACAGCCAGAGCCCGCCAACCATGAAACGTAGCCTCAATATTCAATTCTTACTGAAGTCTTGACCATCAATTACCACTTGTAGCCCTGATAATCGACTATCTCTCGTAGCCTTGATCAATAGTTACCACTGTAGCCATTAGTGTCAACCACCTAATCAATCGTTTCCGTATGGTAATTGTTGATTCACCTCCATAGCCTTGATTGATAGTTACCTAGGTATGTATTACAGCCTGGATGTGACCGGAACAACAGGCACTCAAAGAGTATAGTGTGATTGAATTTTTCGATGGCTGGACTCATTCCGCAACATGATGTCGGTCTCTGGTAGCTGCACTCGGGAGTCTGCTTAGCTTCAGATTCGCTGCGACTACCACCACACCTGGGATAAGTGCTACGAACTACTAAATATGCTGCCTTGATGTCAGCTGTAGTTTAGGCTACGGCGGCAGGGAGTTGTTGCCATCTTGCACTTCCAGCGTGGCAAGCATCTAAACCTGTTCAAATCGTGTCAAGCAACACATTCCACAGCATGCTATTCCACGACTTTGAGAACGTACACTTGAACGCTCTTTCTTCGGCCAAGAACGTTGTGAATCAGGACAGCAGTAGGTATTGATGACAGTCAACATTTGTAATTAAAGCTTCTTGTTTGAACTGGGCTTCATTCTCTTCTTTATCTCTTGGACCTCATTGCATACAACTGCACGATCCTAGGGATAGAAAGTTTCAATCTTTCAAGATCGTAATAGGGGTGCAATTTGTAAAGTGTAAATCATGACGCCAATGATGCAAGAGTCCTTTGTGGTGTGCAGTCCAAGGTGAAAGTTTGATGTTCCTCGGCGAAAGATGGAGACTGTTGCCCGACACTAAGCGCTGTGTCCAGTAGTTGTGAATATGGTCAATCTAATTCCAAAAATCCTTATCAAGGCACCATGGCCTAATGGTAAGGCGTTGCTTTCCGGTGGCAAAGATTGTGGGTATGTTAGCACCTCAATTCCCCCATTGCTTAGCCGTCCACTAACCAAAGTCCGCAGGTTCGAGTCCCACTGGTGTCGCAGGCGTAACTTTTTGGCATTTTTTGCGTGTTGTGCAGTATGGTGAGCGAACCGACAAGTGCTTGGAGCTAGAACCCCGCTAGATCCGTCTGCATCTCGATGCCTTGTGTTTTTGAACAGCTGCAGAGACGATGCTGAACATGTCAGAGCAGTACATAGACATAGTGAACTTTTTAATAGTACTTTAAATTGCTGCAACTAAACATGGCTTACTGCTGCTCATGGGTTCTGGCCATTTCAATGCCGAGAGGTCGGGTCTAGATGTCAAACACGCCGTGGGATGCTTGCTGGCCCGAGGCGTTCAGTACGGACGGCCAATCCGAACTCTCGACAACGTGCATTGGTCCTTCCCCATCATCATTTGCATCCGATCAACATCTTACCCATCGCCAATCGCATACGATCAATACCTTGCCCTGCAGAGCATTATATTCAACCACTCATAGTGCTGATCTTCAACGTTCATAGCATGTCTGCGGCTGCGCGACGTGCGGTTTGCTGCCCGCGAAATCAATTGTAGGTCACGAGACATTGCTCTGCATGGCGACGAAGATTGTCCTATCTGTGCTCACCCTCTGCAGTCCTAATCGCAGCTTGCGCTCGGCGAGAGCTTTACCATCGCTGGCCCTCTCATCCTTTCAGGTGAGCTGTCTCACTTCTCACAACGCCTCTGTGCTTAATGCTGACCAGACTTAGCTACGATGGAATACTTCCTCCTCACCGGCACCTGGCGATAATGTGCCGATACGAAGAGTTGACAATGTGCCGATACGAAAAGTTGACAATGTGCTGATCCGAAGAGTTGACCCGCATGATCTTCATCCCTCCGTGCGGGCCAGAAGATTGGAGAAGAAAATTGAAGCGGCAAATAAGTTTACCACACGACCAAAGATCGACAACGCGCCAGTCAGAAAAATTATACCTAGGGCTGACTCTTTGCCCATAAGAAGGATTATAGAGGCCAGACAACAAATTTCCCGCGATGCCAATGACTTGCAAGACCTAGCTAAACATCTAAGACGTATTCATGTGCAGCGTCGCGTCCTTGCATGGGGGCTCCACGGACCGTACAGGGTACGGACTGAGCCAAATAATCCAGCTCAAAAAGGCCACCTCTCTGTCAAGGACAACGAAGTTGTTGTTGGCGTAAGACAAATTCCAAACATTTGGCTGAGAGACAATTGCCAATGCAGCAATTGCGTGCACGATGCTACCAAGCAGCGGCTGCTGGACACCTTCTCCATACCACACGACATCGCGATCAAGGATGTCATAATGGACGATTCAAAAGTAAAGATTGAGTGGAGCGACGGTCACAAGAGCGAATACGAACAATCCTTTCTCCAACAGACAACCGTCAACGACGAAACCAGAGCACAGATCCGTCAAGGCTTCTCCCCCGTCACCCTCTGGGACTCCTCCATTTCTTCTTCTCCCCCAACCATCTCCAACAACCCTGATGAATCCATCCACCCTGTCCTTCAAAACCTCCGCAAGTACGGCTTCTGCTATGTAGACGACACCCCCTTTGACACCCCCACCGCAACAGAGGAACTCCTCCGCCGCATCTCCTTCATCCGCGAAACCCACTACGGCGGCTTCTACGACTTCACCGCCGACCTTGCCTCAAAAGATACAGCCTACACCAACATCGCCCTCGAAGCCCACACAGACACTACCTACTTCTCCGACCCAGCAGGCCTGCAAGCCTTCCACCTTCTCTCCCACACCGACGGCTCCGGCGGCGCATCCCTCCTCGTCGACGGCTTCAAAGTCGCCGAGCAACTCCGCCAACAAGATCCAAAAGCCTACGACACCCTCGCAACAGTTAACGTACATGCACACGCTTCAGGTAACGAGGGCATAATCATACAACCTTACCGTGGCTTCCCCGTCCTCGAACACGACCCCGCGACTGGCGATTTACTCCGCGTCCGCTGGAATAGTTCGGATCGTGCCGCTATTGCGCTGCCGATTGAGGAAGTAGGCGTTTGGTACGATGCTGCGCGGAAATTTGACGCGTTGTTGAAGGATAAGCAGAATGAGTATTGGGAGCAGTTGACTCCTGGACGGGTGCTGATCTTTGATAATTGGAGGGTGTTGCATGGACGGAGTGCGTTCACGGGGAAGAGGAGGATCTGTGGCGGGTATGTGAATAGGGATGATTGGATTAGTAAGTTTAAGATGGGGGAGTTTGGGAGGGAGAAGGTGGTGGGGAATTTGGCTGCGGGGTAGATGAGGAATTGTACAATGTGTGTGGTATGTTGAAATGACTGTATGAGAAGGGAAGGAGGAAAGCGGTGTTGCAATCTGTGTTGTTGTTCTCCGGCTTCTTATAGAGTCTTATATACACACCACGGTCCAACGCAAAAGAAAATTCTCTCGTCTCACTCCATTCCAAGTCGTTCTTTTGAAGACATCTCTGCTCTACCGTCCACCCTTCTCCTGCTCCAGCTCCAATTCCGCCTGTCTATAGTACTTTGCGGTATCCACGCCGTGATATGGGTGGTGGACAAAATTGGGCCAAGGGAAGACATGCGCGAATGACGCCGAGTACCGCGAGTTCCTGTGCGCAACACCTTGCATGTACTCCGTCATCTCTGTGGTGCCGTAGAGCGACTCGCCCCTCTTGACCTTGTCAACCATCTCCCGCATATCCATTTCGACTTCGCGGCGGTTCTCGCGGGCGCCGTAGAAACGCGCTGTTATTGCGTTAGCAACTATGGTAGACCGTAACCTGCTTTCCAACGGAGGGCCAAGCAAGCGGGGGATGTGGATTCTGAGATAGACGTACCCGACGATCTAGTGTACGCAAAGAGAAAGCACCCAGTTACACCGACAGCACCGGTCAGTCGCATGACGGGCGCAAAACCTCCCTTTCCGACGAATGAGGGCGAGATCTTCTCCCAGTAGAGCATCAAACCGGGACTCAGGGCTCCCAGTGCCGCGCCTTGGAGCCAGTCGGAGGGGCGGGTATACCGCAGAACGCGGGAGATGTGTCTTTTCTACATTAGTACCTGACGAGCGCATGGCGGGGTTTTGGTGAGGGCGTACGGGTCATTGTCAATGAGCTGCAATATGTCAGTCTACCCATTCGCGTAAGCCATTGCACCCCCAAGGCAACTCACAGGATACTCTCCCGTCGGAATCTTATCCGGCACAATAGCCTGATGCCTAACCGCACCGTCCTGAGCTGAAGCCATTGCGTGTGTTGGTGGCCGTCTGTTGTGTGTTGCCCTGCTGATATGCGGCGGTGCTGATTCGCGAGGTGAGGTTGGGGTTGTGAGGAAGGTGACGGCACTTGCCGCTGCGGAGCTCTCCAGTGTCCACGCCTTTTGCGTTCGGCGCGCGACCTGCAACTTTACTCTTGGCGCGTCTGCTCTTTTGAACCAACGTCAGAATCTTGAAACTTCAACGACGACAATGCGCGCAGAGGGTTCGACGTGCGCTGAAGAATTACTACAATCAATATAAGACGAGGATAGGGGAATCGGCAAAATGGAGGATATCAAGCCTACTGGTGCAGCGAGCGCGTCGACGGCGCATGCGACCAGCGAGACTTCGAACCAGCATGCGCGCCCAACGGTTGCGGATTTACATGGCGAAAATTACTTTGCGCAAGTGGCGCGGAAGCACTGGCTGACCGCGAAGAAGACACCCAAAGTAAGACCAGAGGTGGTCAAGAAAGAGCTATGGGATGAGCTGGAGAATGGCGACTTTGCGTACTCGTCGCTACTCATACTGGAGAACCTGCAGTTGCTGGAGAGGTATCTTTGGCCTGGATTCACAGAAGACGCATCGAATTACCATCATTTGCTGCTGGCGCTTATGGTAAACGTCAAGAGGAGGGAAGGACTGACTTCTTGGGGTAAGTGGATGGACATGGTGCATGCTGGGTGATAGGAGGATTTGCTAACAGACTACGCTGTAGAACACTTCGCAAGCAAGCCCGCCGAATTCTCGTCCTTCTTTCGTCGCATCCTTTCCATGACGGTAGATCCCTCACAACCAAGCAAGATCCGAACACAGCTCATATCCTTCGTCATTGGCGCGTTTCAGTCATTAGACAGCGGTCTTGTACGCAAGGAGTGTGCGCCACTGGTTGGCATCTCGATATGGCAGAACCTCCACTCGGAAGCTGTGCGGGAGGGGCAGTTCGAGGAACATCAGATGTTGCGCAAGGCATGGAGAGCTACATCGAAACGATTCGATGCTGGAGATGATGCGCTCAAGGCGAAACTGCGATTTGAGCGATCGTGGCTATACACGCTGCTGCTAGACTTCGTCGACCGTCTCTATAACAGCAACACCAAGCAAGAGATGGGAGATAATCTAGCCTACTGTGAGCGCTTCATGGAGCTCTTGACAGACCTGCAGAGCCAGTTGCCAACAAGGCGATATGTGAATGCGCTGTTGCGGGACTTGAACTTGCTACCAGCCGTTCGTCTGTCGCCCATGTACACAGATGAGGACAATGGCCTTTTCCGTGACCTATACGGCCTCTTGAACCACTTCACAAACTTCCCAATCGAAGACCAGACTGGAAGGCAGCTCACAAAATTGGAATATGACCAGCAGCACTACGACACCTTGGCGAGATTACAGCGGACGGGCTATGCAACGTTTCAGGAGAAGCTACAGTTGATGGCTCTGGCCAACTATGGAAGCATTGGCAACAGAGAAGAGCTGGACGGTCATTTGCGTGCATTGAGTGATACGGAACTCGTGGAGCTCTGCTCTCTGATGGGCCTACGAACGGAGTATCCAGCTTCCACTTACCTTGTGCGAGACCGCGCCTTCTTCATGGAGACTCTCATCGCCCTGGTAGAGCAGCGACCCACATTCAAGGACACTGTACGCGACATGCCCGTACTGCCGACGGAGAGAATCCTATACGAAACGACTTTCTTGCGAAATGAGTCTTACAATGGTTCAAGGCCATTGGCTATACCGAAGCTCAACCTACAGTACCTCACAATGGGCGATTTCTTGTGGAGGTC